AAAACATGAAATTTCACTCAAATATTTCAAAATTTTCAAATTCTTAAAAAAGTTCAGTTTTCAGCTTTTTCTCCCTTGTCAATAATATTATTTTATTTATTAGTCAATATTAAATTAAATAATTTTCTTGAAGAAGATTTTTCAAATATATTTCATTAAATATATTTGATTGACACAATGATTTAACAATGTTTAATAAATGCATTTATATCTTTTTTCAGTCTATCATTAAATAGTGATATTATACAAAACAACAATAACCAAACAAATAGACTATTTACTCAAATCTTAAGAAATCAAATAGAAAATAAAGATAAAGAAAAAAAGATACAGATGAAGGATAAAATTATTTACAACTTTTACAATCGAAATCAGTCTAGTTAATCTAAATTAAAATAAATAAATCATTTTTTAAAACTCTCGATGATGAAAGAATTAATTCAATATCATATCAGTCTTTTGGAAAGCGAATATCTGCATACTATATACATTTTTTCTTTTTCACTGAGCATATCCTCCATACAATGGTCTATTTGATTTCAGATTAAAATGCCGGGGCAATGGGACTAACATAACAATAGCACTACTCGAATTATAGGTCTAGTTTGAACTATGGGACTAATAGGACTATGAGTCCCACTAGTTCCATCGTTCCTACTATTCCTGCTACTTTGTTAACGTGGACAGATTCGTTGATATATCTAGATTCATCGAATAACTGGAGACATGACATGATTGGTAAGGTGAGTTCTTATTCAAACAAGAGTTGTCGTGTGGGTTAAAGCTTTAATAGCCCTTTTTAATGAAGGTACTGAGGTAACTGCGAACATATCATTATGCAGCATAATGATACACAGGATGAGTTATGGTTGTATGTGTACAAAAATTCTGTGTTGTGATTATTGTTAAGAACAATTTTTATGTTACTTTTCTTTTTCTACCAGCAGAAATACGTAAAAGAGTTTTTTTTTTCTCCATTGTGAGTATTTACTCATGCTAGAATTTTTGAATGACGTTGGTTGTTTTTACTGACTAATTCAAGTATGTAAATATTTTTTGTTAGGTGACGCACATGACAATTCATTATAAACACCGGTAAAAGACACAGTGCAACGAACAAAGAAAAGAAAATAATATTTTTCTATGCATATGCAGCATTAACAAAACTGGTCATATAATCAATTATTTTGTTTTTATCTGTTACTAAAATACATAATCGTCAAAATATGATATAAACTTGGATCTTTAGAAACATTATTTGACTTTTTATCATCGAACATTTGTTAAATTTGAGAGAAAGAATGATTTTTTTTTGTAGATATTATATTGATCGTGTGTTATTAGAATGTCATTCGAAATATTATCTGATGAACTATTGTTAATCATCTGTTCGTATTTAAATGGTATCGATGTTCTTTACGCATTTAATGATTTGAATACTCGTTTAAATTCCACAATACATAACTATCGAAAACAAATAGATCTTACTCGAATAAGATATTGTCAATTTAATCAATATTGCCATATGTTATTCCAAACCAATCTAGGTTTACAACTACAATCACTCAGTCTCTCAAATAATCACTTAGTAATGAATCCACTAACACTTTTTGAAAAACAAATATGGCCTTTAAATGAAAAGGTACCAAATTTGGAATGTCTTACATTATATGATATTAATTCTGATGAATTAAATCTATTCTTATCCAATATAATGTCTTTTAAGAAATTAACAGAACTGAATATAACGTCCAGCACGCGTTTCTGTAATAATACTGTTTGGGAATCTTTTCACAGTTTAACAAAAAATATTCATTCATTGAGAAAAATAAAATTAGAAAATATTATCTTATCTTTTGAATCGACATATGATTGGAATAATGATACAATTACACATATGACTATTCAGATAAAAACAACAGATGATTTAATTATACTTTTACATAACTTTAGCAATCTCCATTTTCTCGATGTTTGTATTGATAAATTCGAAGCTCCTCATGCTAAACAGTAAGTCATTCCTTCTAATTTAGCTTTTGAAATATTTCTCAGAAATATTTTATTTGATGATTTATTGAAAACATCTTTATCAGATTATATTTATTTAAATGCAATTTGTTAGATTTATTTTATTGAATTTTTCTCTTTTGTTCAAAGTTCTTTTGATAACATTTCCTCGAAACAACTCAACACATTTCATATGAAAATTCTCAAGGCACCTGATCGATCGACATTTGAAAAATTGACTTATTTATTAATGAAGATGTCTAATCTACAACGTCTTAAATATAGAATATGTTTGGGTTTTGTAGAGAAGAATGAGAATATAACTGATTATTTAAATGGTCGAGAATGGGACCTTATTCGTACGCAATTTGGTCATCTTCAAGATTTCGACTGCACAATATGGACTGAACGAATATCATGCAATGTTAATAATATATCTCAACAAATAATTGAATCGTTTTCACAATTTTCTGGTTGGTTTGTTGAAGTATTTCAAACAAATTCGAACAATTCGTACATATGCGTATATACGAAAACGCGAAGATTATTTCATTTGGACATAGATCATGATATGTTAAGAAATCTAAATGGACATCAAATAGCGACATTGATTGATGGAGCTTCATCCATATATATGTATACTGTTTGTTCAGATGATGGCGATAAAAATGCAATGGAATATTCACCTTTGGTTTTACCTGATCGAATCTTTTCTAAATTAAATTCTATAGAAGTAGGTGCTGATTGTTACATGGATTTTAATAAGCGTTTAGAATCTTTTCTAAAACAACTTTTCTCTCGAACTCCAAATCTGACGTCCATTGATATAAGCAGCCATGGTAGTGGAGATGACTACAATGATATTTCGAATGTCTTAAGTTGCATGGAAAAACCGTCAAAAACAATTAAAAATTGTAGATTTTCGGTAAAAGCTTGTTATGATGAATCTCGTATGGCAGAGGTGATATTTTATTTACCAATGTTAACATCCTTGAGAATAGAAATAATTTATTCTCTTGAAGAATTTGTCGATATTGTAAACACATGTTTCATTCATTCGAAGCATTTACTTTATTTGGAACTTAGTCTACCATGGGATCTTATCTATTCAAAAGAATCTGATATAAATAACAAGAATATTCAATTATGGCTAAAGGAAAATACTCTTTTAGGTGACTCGGTGGTTGGAAGAGAATTTCATGCAGTTATTGATCATCACGTCAAAATTTGGCTTTGAATAATAAATCATCAAAAATCATTTTAATGTTTATCTAAATTACAAGTTTTTCATCTGTTTTGGTTCTCTCGATGACTTTATATTTTTCATTGCAACTTATTTCTTACAATAATAAAGTGTTTCAAACGAAATCCTCGCTTTTTTTTTATCAGTTTATAAATATAAACCAATTGATGCGTTGTGAATTTTGTCTACGCTCAATTCTTATATAGATATAAAAAATCAATGTGAATAACAATATTTGGAATTAATTTTTTTATTTTGTTTCTGATGATGTCACTGTTGGAAAATTTGTATAACAATTAATTGTGGATTATCGTATCAAACAATAGTGAGATATCGAGGTTTTCGTAATTTTTGTCTATAGAATATTACTTATACAGCACAACCTTATTTTCGATTCAGCTAGAAAATTTTACAATAAAAATATCCGAACTTTACGACAAAATCTCTTTGAGATATTAAGATTCAAAGATATAGGCTCTTTTCTATAAATAGTCTATACAGCAGAGCAGTCATCCTATTCCGCGATGTTGAACATTGCTGAACTAGTTCCGTCTCAGGAATTAGTTCTATTGATTCTGGAATTGGATGAAACCGAAACACAATCTGACTCTGGAATCGATTCCATCAATTCCTAGAATTTCCGGAATCGATTCTAACAATTCCTAGAGATTCCATCTAATTCCGTCTGTTTACGAAATCGCAAGGAATTTCCAGCAACTCCGGAATCGCTTGCTTAAGGAGGCCCTTCCTCAAAAGCCGATCTCAGCCCAGGAACATCTAAATGCCACGAAACTTTGAGAATATGTTGGAGCTATAAAAGGACGTCTGTGGTAAAATTTTCAGCCTCTTATCCTGATGTATAAGGGAGATACAAACAAAACAAGGGTCGAAAAATAGCTTATCGCGTCTCCAAAAATTCTCCATGGGTGTTCATTCAATATACTTGATTGTTTTTTTGTTTGAAAGAGCAGTCCAGATGCAGTGTCTATGAGAGCCCTGTTTTTTTTTACTCTTATCTTTCTGGAGGAAAAAAGGCCTGACAAGCTTGATCTCTGAAAAACCTCTAAAAAAAAATGGCGCTCATATTATAAAATTGCTTATCAATATAATAATAACAAAGCTTTATCAAAAAAAGAGCTCTCATACGTATTGCACTTGACTTTCGCTGAAGATACGTCATTCGACCACCATTTTGAGAAAAAACGAAAAAGATTTTTGGATTTTTCCAAAAACCAGCAGTTTTTCGAATAGGGGTCGTCAAAAATATTGAAAATTTTTCGGAAAAAAGGGGGTATCGAAGAAAAGCTTTTATCGTTTATGAAAGAGCAAATGACAAGCTATCTTCCCATGTATTTATCTCAATCTTGACCATTCTGACGAAAGCTAACATTTTTTGAGGGGGCGCCATTAAGCTGGAGATTAATCTGCAAGGACAATACTAAATGTGAGGGTGAGGAGGAAAGGAGTTCCGATGTGGAATTCCGGAATCAGTAGTGATTGCATCGATTCCGGAATCGCAAGGAATTCCTTCTAATGGCAGTATTGGAAGCGATTTCTGTAGTTCCGGAATCGCTTTCAATTCCGAAATTTCGCTGCGAAATTATATCTTCATTGGATCAATAAGGAATGAGAATATAATAATAGAAGTCGTAATTCCGGAATTAGACGCAATTCCTAGAAATGGTTGGATTGGATTTCGGAATTCCTAGGAAATGGTAGAATTGATTCCGGAAGTGGATTGTGTTTCAGGGTGTTGGTGTGGATGTGGGTTTGGGTGATGTGGGTGTGGGGTGTAGGTGTGGGTGTGACTGTGGATGTGGATGTGGGTGTGAGTGTGAGCATAGATAAGTCCTTCACCCACACCCACACACCCTATCCACACCCACACCCTACGTGATTACTGTTTTGAGGTCGTTCCTGTGTGGTAGCGATAAAGATAATGTTCTTAACATAATCTCCCTTTAAGACTAAAATCCAATGTAAGATAGGATAGAAGAGCGTGTGGATGTTGATGAATGATAAGGAAAGATACATCAATACGCATATTCTTACAGGATTTTTACTTAGCTATCTATCACTTTATTTTTTCTTTTTTTTGTTAATGTCAAAATTCTTTCTCGAATGTGTTTCTATGTATAACACAATTAAATTGAATGCGAAATCAACAGCTATGATTGATGCCAACGTGAAAATGAACACTGGATTCGACAACTTATTTTTCTTTCCAACTAATCGAATCTATTTGATTAAAAAGTTCAAAGCAGTATAACTGATTACGCTAGAAATATCCAGAACAAGAGTATCAAAATGCTAAGCTATTAAACTCTAATTTTTTTTTTGATCGATTATTGGCACAGCTTAAAAAAAATATATGATCAAAATAGAACTCAGCATACATTTGGAGAATATGAGTTTTAAAAAATTGAGTATCTGGATGAGATAAATAGCCATATTAACAAATAAATCTATCCGACATCTTAATGATATTGTAATTGTCCTATCTAAAACAAATCTACATACATAAAGAAACCCAGTGAAAGAGAGCAAAAATAGGATTGAATACCGAAGCATGAGTATTGACGTCATGTATACTACTTAGGGCAATCCAAAAATAGTGGCTCCATTTTCTGATTTCTCTATAGAAAGCTTGAAGGAACTTTCTTTCTTGATGTAGTGATAGAGAAAACGATGCTCTATTTTTCTGTGCTATTTGATCACTATTCAACTAATATCATAATAATAAAGTTTCAATAAGAGCTGTTTTGATGTGAAAATTCACTAACGGGTGGAGCAGATTAATATGGTTTGCATCTCAATTTTCAATCACTTAATATGTTGTATTAAAAAACAAAATATACTACAAGTTGCAGCGTGAAAAGCTCTACAATTTACAAAAGAACAGTTCATTTTATATTTGAAATAAGAAAAATATTATTTTTTCGGGTCAGCTAAAATTGATCGCACAGAATTTTGTTTTTCTTTTTGGAAACAAGAAGTACACAATTAAAGTAAGCTTTAATTTGTAGATTATAAAGCTTTTCACGCGACATCTTGTGATGTATTTTGTTTTTCTTAAATAAAAGATATCAAACGAGAAAAAGATGCAATAAAAAAATGAATTCATCTTGTACCAAAAAATATCGTTTTCGCATGGTCAAAAATTGGTTGCTCAAAATTTTGTTCATTTTGCAAACAAAAAATGCAACTATAAAATAAGCTGTCTTTCGTAAATTGTAGAGCTTCTCGCACTGCATCTTGTAGTATATTTTGTTTTTTAATACAATGCATTAAGTGGTTGAAACATTTAACCTGCCTCATCCGCTAGTGAAGTTTCACATCAAAACAGCTCTTATTGAAACTTTATTATTATGATATTAGTTGAATAGTGATCAAATAGCACAGAAAAATAGAGCATCATTGTCTCTATCACTATATCAAGGACGAAAATTTCTTTAAGCTTTCTATAGAGAAATAAGATCATGACGACACTACTTTTCGATTGCCCTAAATAGAAGAGCTTTACATCTACATACTGTCAAGCTTGCCCTGTGGAATAAGAAAGTTAATTAAAACAGCACAATATAAAATAGTTCATCAACTTTGAAAGATAATTGAAAAAAAGAAACACAATACGAAAGAAAATTCCAAGAATACAGAAAGTGACTTTAATAAATTATGTTCTAGAGAGATAAACATAAAGTCAAAATAAGTTAAATACCATTTGCTCACTCAACGAAATCATCTAGAGAATACACAAAAAAAAA